ATGAAGAAAATATGAAACTTGCTAACCTCACTGGGGATGAAATATAGAAAGCTTTGACTGACAACGTGCAGCACTGCATGATCCCTCTGAGACAGTAGATGTGTTAGAATCATACAGTTGTCAGAGCATTAAAGTAGAAATGACCAACCTGACTCTGGCTTCATTCAGCAGCATTAAAAAAAACCCCAGTCAGATTAACATCTGGACAGGAATTTACACGAAAGTGTTGATGAGAGCTGCTTCCTCTGAGCGGCTCCGTTCACAGCTTCACAATCCAACACTAAACACTGATAAACGAATGAAAAAGTATCAAGTACATTTAATATGGTCATATATTTTCTTTCTGCTATAATTCTAAGCAATGTACAGTGGCCATGTTGATAATATTAGTGTGATTTCCTGCTAAATTGCACCATTTCTGTTTCTTTCCCACAAACAAAACAGCTTTGTTATAAAGTCACTTTCAGAACACAGACTGATTTATACATTTGATCTAAAAGGCTCAAAATTAACTTATTTGATTCCTTAGAGAAATAAGAGGTCATTTTGACTGAAAACCAGCTCAAACATATAATTACTCTACATTAAAAACCTATTATTTAATACATAAGTAAAAAATCCATAGCAATAAATACATTAAAACTTTATTTGGAAAACTGGTCATCTTAAACTGAAAGCTGAATAAACGTCTTTTTGAAACAAACATTAAAAGCTTTGCAGTGGGAAGGGGATTATATATTGGAGAGCTGTTAGTTTTTATATTACAGCTTAAGTATGTCCAGGTTTTTTTATCCATTCATTGCACATCGACAACAAAAAGCTGGTTAGAAGACAGCTCGAAAGTGATGAATTCAGGTCAGAATTTTTGCAACAGAGCTCATATGAGCAAAGATATTTTCTGAAAAGTAACACCGCTATCTGATGGTGACAATGTGAGACTGTAATCTTTTTGATAACCGAGACTAGTGCTCTTTGGATTCACTCGCTGCTGGTGAGTGTTAAATATCACGTTTAAAAGAGTCTCAAAAAGCCTTAATGGGAACTGTATTTAAAAACAAAAACAAACAAAAAAAAACTTTGATGTCACTTTAAAAAATTCTAAAAGAGACAATGGATGACAAAATACCCACAATGCAACAAAATGGACAAATCTTGATGTTCATTTGGCAACAGATTCCTTTGACATGCAGGATGCACTGTCTCGCTGAGGCTCTAAAAGGACATGATCATATTCATTCACACGCTTACACACACAGATACAATACATGTGGCACACAAAATTCTGGTCACTTTAAGTAGAAAATATTGTGAAGAGTAAAAAATAGCTTAGGAAAACAACTTAATTAACACAGTCCATCCCAGTAACCTAATAATTATTTCTGCTTACTGAAAATAATTTATGTTATCTTTACAGCCCAAACAAAAAAGTTTTGATGTGAAATTATCATAATCTGCGCTTAATTCTAAGAGAAATTATCTCAAAATGAACCTCAAGTCACAAAATTATTCACAGAAAACAAAATTTTAAGCATCAACCAAATTTTGAATGCCACTCTGACTACAGTGCCTAGGAAAGGAGTTGACAGCCCTTCACTTTTTTTAACTTTTCATTGGGATTTTAGGTGAAAACAACACAAAGTAGTGGATTATTGTGAAGAAACAAAAGATGCATGGGGTTTAAAGTGTTTTGCAAATGCATTTGTGTTTCTAACTTGGCATAAGCCAGATTGATACTGTACGTGTAATTCACTTTTAATCCTACACTGTATCAGTCTGGAAGGGCTTTTAGATAGCATTCGCAAAAGGGAGGGACATTCAGTTAATATTCTTAGAGCTGATCGACTCCCACGTCGAGTTTTTTGCCAGATACTGTCATGGTTGTTTAGAGTTTTCATTGGTTTTAATTCCAATTTGTGTTATTGTAATTGTATTTCAGTTCTTATGTATTTCTTGTTTACCATCTGTTGTCCCCTTGTGTCAGTCTCCTCCTAGCTCCCTTCTAGTTTCTTCTGTCCACACCTGCTCCCAATCTGCTGATTAGCCTGGTCTTTGTTCAGTCTCCCATTTATACTCCTCCTCTTCAGTTACTGTTTGCTGGTTCCTCATTGTTTCTTTTCTCCTCATATGTGTTTTCCCTGATGTCTCCTGGGGTCAGTTTCACAAAGCAGGTTTACCAAAAACTCTAAGTTGTCTAAACCTGAAAATTGGGATCTCTGACTTTTCCGGTTCACAAACAGAGAGTTTCCTCAAACTCTTTTTCAGTCACCGTAGTAACATTCTCCCCAAAGTTAACCTGGTCTGGAGCAGGTTTTCTTCAGTAAACTCGGACTGTCCTCTGTCTCCGCTCTCCTTACAACCAATCATGCTGTTTTATTTTCTGATTTAGTCAGATTTTGTTCTAGTTTTGTGCATAAAATGTGTGTGTGTGTATATATATATTTATTTATATATATCTCAGTTAAACACTATAGGTTTTAAAAACAAACATTACATGTCCATTTGATGAGGATCTTATTGAAGAACGAGAATTACAGAGAATTAAATATTTATAGGGACAGGATTCTACAACTCAGTTGACAGGGTATGACATTACTTGTTTTTGGTTTGTTTAATATGAGCATGATGTGGATCATTTTATTTTTATTTAGTTATATTTACAGTACATGAAGAACTACTAAACTAATTTTTGAATTACACATTAATAGATGCATCAATTCCGCTGGGGAAAATGAATTATTTAGGGTTGGGATTAGGATTCACTCTTTGATAACAATCTACTGAGTCTACTGGCACAATCTGAAGCCATTCTCTGGGACTGATAGCTGCTAATAACAACCCTTTATTTGAATGATAACATCCGAAACGCAACTGCAAATAGCCACTTAGTATTTACTGTGTAAGAGACAGAATCAATATGAAGAGGGACCCATGAGATGATGCACAGGTTCTATATATTAAAACATTTTTAGACTTTATTCTCACCTGCTGCCAGAAGAATTCACCTAAATAGATACATTGTTCTACTACCATTGAAGAAATGAACCCTTAATATTATCGTGGTCACAGCATACTATGGCAAGCCATTTGGATATGTACTAGTTTTACTGAATATGTATTCCTGATATCTAAAAAGCATTTTTGCTTTGTCTAAATGACAATTTAAATCAAAATGACATTCTCCACATCTAGAATAAATATTATGGATGTCTATAAATAAATTTCAGATCTCCATATTCCTAATATTACCAGTCAGGAATGTATTATTTTAACTATGAAAAAATGTATTTCGGATAAATAAATTCAGTCAAGCTTATAAATGTCAAAATGGCCACTTAAAATGTGTTAACATTTCTAGATATATAAAACTTAATTCTTACCAGAATATATATATATATATATATATTCTTTCTAGAATTCAGTTTCTGCTACAAAAAATTAATTTAGAAAATATATTATTATACAGTTCAGTCAAGGAGTGTGATTTTTATCAGGAAGAATCTTATTTTATTGATCTACAAATGGAACAACAGCGAGGAAAGCTTTTAATAAATGTAAAAACGGCCTGCCATAGTCACTCCATATAAACTTACGCCTTCACTCGAGCAACAATCTTCTACTTCGCCATCTTTCTCCTCTTTGCAGTTGTAGCGCTGAGTCTCTGTCTTTTAATTATCTTTTTTTATATTATTTATTTGCATCTCTGCATTAAAATCTCTAGTTCCAGTGGGGTGAAATAGGTACTTCCTTTTGCCTGTTGTCATGCTGATTAACCGAATCGGTGCTCCACTGATAATGGCTTTTCATACCTGTTACACATGTGCTAAACTCTGAGTGGTTGATTGAACTAATTAATAGCAGCCATTGTGAAACCGAAAACTCAGAGCTCCCGACATTAGGCTAGATCAATTTAGAGTTGCAGCTGTGAATCTGAGTTTGTTAAACCTGCTTCATGAAATGGACCCCTGGATTTTGGTATTTCTGCATTTTGTTATTTTGGGATTTTTGCTTTAGTTGCCACTTTTTTGTTAATAAATCTGCAAGAAACCAACTCAGCTTCCGTCTCTGCATTTGGGTCCTCTTCAAACCTCCACACAACCTGACAGATATGTCATAACACATTCTTGGTTTGTTTTACAGAGTTAACTGATAAATCAAACTCTTATCAAATCTGATCGGCAGGAACCTAAACAAACTCATTTTATAAAAAGAAATAGAGGGTATTCCAGCTGCCATGTATGTTTTTCTTCAGCCTTCCACCTCTGGTTGATGCGTTGAGGTCATATCACTGCCTTTCATGGGTCTAAAATATCTCTGCATTGAGACTAATGCATCCTTTTGCTTTTGGCAATTTTTGGAAGTTTGTGAATTCACAAAACTCGCAACAATTCATCTTGGTTGCAAGGTAATTGCTTTTCACCTGTATGTGTGAATAGCAAAACCATTCAAACACAGAAGGATGGGTGTCCTGTGTGCATGTTGTATGCTAAATTTGTGTGTTTTGCTTAACATCAGGGGATTCTGAAGGGCTGAATTTATTGAGGGTTATCAGAGTAAAGTAGTCTGAACACTATTGCAATAAAAACAACAAAAAACAAAACAATGTTATGAATAAGATGTATTATTTTTTGTATTCATTTGGCAGAATAAGAAAAAGGTTGAAGGGGTTGTGAACTCCTATGGCGCTGTGTATACACACTGCAGATACAGCACACGATGCGTTAGTTAACATGCACATGAACAGATATACATCAAGTTTTTCAATAAATGCACTTCTGTGTCCGCAGTTCTCAGCTGAAAATAGGAAGGTGCATAAATAAAACTTTCTTATCAGTATATAAAAGGTCCATGCTTGCCTGGCACAAAAAAAGAAATATGGATCCTGAAAATACAGTGGCTATCTGCAATCTCTTTCTTCTTTTGTACTGTAGGTTTCTTCTTCATGATTGTATTCATGTTGGTCCCTTTTTCATGGCAGTGTTCTCAGTTTAGTCCTTTTTTTCTCTCCTTCACAGGTGGGTACTATCCTGCGTATCAAACCTGTGGCTCTCTGATAGTCCAGCACTGCACTTCCTGCTGCTTCCTTGATTGGGCACCAGGGAGAGGGGGTCTGGTCTTATCAGGTACCTGCAGATCAAGCACAGGCAGGGAAATTGAATTCTATTCTAATTGCAGGTTGCATGCTGGGTTCACTTCACAGCACCATTGCTTATAAATTGGGGTTTTTTTTTCACTTACACCACATCGTTCAGGTCGAGCCTCGTGTCTGGGGAAGGGTTGATGAGAATGTACGACAATCTGTTGCCTTGATCCGTCATCCCATCTAACACAAGAGGAAAAGAGGTTAGAGAGGCAGGAAATAAACTCAGCACAGGATACAGACCAGGAGGAGCCGTATCCGCTCAAAAAGCAGAAGTATGTAACATTTGAAGTCCAGCAGTTCCAAAAGATACAGGAGAAAAGTAAGTTGTAGACTAGAACTTACTAAATCCAGTTGGAGAAAGGCCCAAATGTTTCATCCTGGTTCGCACCAGTGAATTGAGCTCCTGTCTTTCTGAGCGCCTGAACAGATTCAGTCTTTGCTGACTGATCCTCTCCGCTGCGCTGCCAGGACCCCCTTTAGCTCCACTTGATCCCCGACCCCCCTTCCTGCTCAGTCGCCTTGCCCACTGCATACTCTTCCTCCTTAGCAGCGGGTGGTCCGAGGTGTGGGAGGAGGTGGAGATGGGCTCTGAGGAGGTGGAGTTACGGTGAGTGCCGGTGCGGGACAGGAGGGGTTCTCTGGGCTCTCTGGTGTCTTCATAGTCTTCAACTGTTATGGATACCTGGGACTGAAAAAAATAATGGGAAAAAAAACTTTTTTTCATGAATCAAGATGTTGTCACAGAGGTTTAATGGTTCTATAGAGGTGTTGTTTCCTATTTCTTAAATATAAAAAAATGCATTGACAATTACTAAAGAACATATGCAGCATACTTCATAATAAAGCCTGATAGAGTCAAGTCAAACACGGTGCAGCTGCCTAATCATATACTAAAAACTTTATTTAAAAAAAAATCACATTGCTAAATATTCAAGATTAATTAAAATTGTTACCAGAACTTTTCTTCAGAAAAGTTATCAATCTGTATCTCTTAAGTGTGAAGGAGAATATAAATGTTCCATATGAAAAGTAAAAAATATGTTGATTGAAGAGAAAAAGTTACACCATGAAGGTGCAGTGGGGGAAATCTTGCAATATGAATAGAGACATGTATCCTGGTGAGCTTCAATCTATTCTCTTTTCTTCTGAAGTGGTCCTTTGCAACATTGCTCCACCTGCTGTCATGATCCAAGTCAGACAGATCTTAAATTCTTAACGAAACTCCACAGTGGAGGCGACCTTTACAGCAGCAAAGGCTTGTTTTCAGCTGCCATTCTCAGCTGAGCTTCTGCAGTGAAAATGTTTTGAGCTCAGAGCCCATAATAAATCTCTAACCTCGTTGGGAAAGGCGTCTTACAGTCTGTTGAACACATTAATCAAACTATTGCCCCTGAGTTCTTTGGTCATAATGTATCTGAGGTTGTGCAGCAGAGGACAGATTATTATAGCAAATCCAAATTTTGAGTAAATTGAAACAAATAAGTCTAAAAAAAGCACCCATGTCTATATTGCAACCATGTTAAATGAGGAGGAGCCTGTTGAGATCAGCAAATTGCATGTTCTACTGGAAGCTGGAGGGTAAAGGTGTGAGGTTCTAAGCCATGCAGTTGAATGTAAAGAAGAAAATAATTTAAAAGTTATGATAACAATAATACTAAATTTAATATAAAGTTCACTTCAAAAAGGTAGCCTATTTCAAAGTCGTATGAGCAAAAAAAAAAAATTAAATAAATGATTTTAATCAAGCCACATATAAAAGATAAGAAATAAAAAAAACACAGGGAATGTATCTTTGTCTGTTGATTGACCATACCCCAACCTGCCTGACCCTTATTTATTCACACTAATAGTCACTGATAATACTACTCACTAATCACTAATAGTGACATAAATCAATTTTACCTTCTTTAAAGATCTGTTCTGTTTTTGAATGTTTTAAGATAAGCTTTTTTAAGAGTAGTCTGCTGCTGCTGGCAACAACTAATAATAGCCAGTGACTATGGTCAGTATAAACCAAATTCCATGGTAAACAAACAAATTTCTATACAGATATTACACCTGTGGTGTTTGTTGCCGTGTTTATCACCAAAGTTACAAAATGAAAACAGGCTGACCTCAGACACTGGAAGCTTGTGGGCCTCTGTACGGTAGATGCCTATGGGAATGTCTCCAGTGGAGGAGCATAGTTTCTGATAGAGCCTCCCGTAGGTTCTGATCCACAGGTCATCCTCTGTGATTTTCATCTGGAAACCAAACAAAACAAAAATCGGTCCCTGAGGCGATCTGCTGTCCAACCAAACTAAAATCCAGCTGCTTTGTTTTCTACTTACAGCACAGAGGAAGCCTGATCCAGGCATGGAGTCAAGGCCGAGCAAAAGTCTGGTGATGGAGATCATATAGTCCTTCACAAAGGACTGGACCACAAAAACAATTCAACAAGATACAGGTTATTATAGACATAAATCCAAAAGAGGTGGGATACATGTTGCTCAGAGAGAGAGTGTTTGGGACCTGGTAGAGGAGAGTGTCCAGCATACTAACACTGAACACCTTTCCAGCAGCAAACGGTAGGCGGAACATAAAGACAAGGTTGGAGCCCTTCTCTCTTTCTTTCTGCAGATCAAACACATGGTCACACAGTGAAAGTGTCAGATTTAACTAGTTCTGAGGGGATAAGAGGAATCTCTTCTTTCTTTAAACTCTTCCTGTATCAAATCTCTTCCGAGTGAGGCGAACATAACACAGGAATTTAACGCAGAGAGCCTGACTTGAGGTCTTAAGACCAAAGTAATTGCCACTACCCCTGATTTGTATGCAGCCTGAAAACAAGCTTCACAACATAAAAAGCCTTTAAATGCCGTTTTTATTTTAAAATTGCACCAATTTGAAAAAAACATTTAAAGAGAGGATGTCTGACTGTGGCTAATTTACTGTTTCGTTAATGGCGGTTATTAATGTCCAGAGCGAGACTCATTAGCTGCCACTGACAACATTAACAATAACAATTTTCAGTTAAAAGATCATTAGCATCCCATTCATTTATTTTCTATTCTACGGGAACTATGAATTAAAAAAAGAACTGATGCATTTATTTCCTTGTTTATTCTATGGCTACGACATACAATAAATAAAAAGGAAAAGCCATATTTCAACTTGAAATGTTACCTTTTCCAGTTTGGACAGAGCCAGAGAATAATGATCCTTCACTTTGAACTGCATGAAGCGCATGTTTGCAGGATGTGTCAATTCAGTGATGATACTAAGAGCTGGAAAAAGTCTACAATGGTAGAAAAAAACAGGAACAATTAGAGATAAAATTTGATTAAAAAAGGACACAATAAAAATTCAAGGAAACTAAAAAAGCCAAACAAACATAAAAAAACCTTTAGGTGAAGCTGACCTGAATAGCGTCTGGACGTTAACAATCGTTTTTGCGTCAGCCATGTAATCCTCCTCTGCAATCATGGAGCTTTCTTTGTCAAACACCACCATAGTGTCGGCAAAAGTGATTCCACATCGCAGCAGGCTGTCCAGACTCCAGAAAGATACCCAACGAGGTGTTTAATACCACACACAGAGATTTTTTATATTATAATTTTATAGTAGTTATTTTAGCAAGTAGAAGTATATTAATAGTGGGAAAAAAAATCCCTAAACACTGAGCCCTCAAACCCACAAACCCCCGCCTTTAGTTAACTCTATTTTCACTTCATCTTTATCCCCACAGCATAATGCTGCCATCACAATGTTTCACCATGGAGATGGTTGGTTCAGGTTAATTTGCAACACTACCTCTGCTTGGTGGGCAAAAGCTTTCATTTTGGTCTGACCAGACAGATGTTTGCTATGTTTCATACATGCTTCTCCACTTTCAAATTAAACACAAATTTATGTTGATTCATCTCCAATTATCCCAATGTTTAACATTCAGAATTGTGCATTTAAGTGACAAAGTTAGAAAAAGAAAATGAAGAAGTATGAACACTTTTGCACTTAAGGTAACAAAGTATGAATGCGAAAATAAAAATTTGGTCTTACTTTTCAATGGAGCCCACTGTGTAGAAAACCATTGGGAACCAACATATGGCTTCCAGGAAATCGGCTTCAGGTCTGTAAGGATAAAAAAAAAGCAGATTTCAAAGCGAATCCTACATGCCACAGAGAAGAGCACACACTCCCACAGCTACAGTCTGCCTTCCCCCTGTGCTGAATTTACTGAAGAGACAAAAGCACTTCTTAGAAAGCTGAAAATAACGGCACTACACAGGAGTGACTCAGCATTTTATTGCCCTTTTATTGGATTCCACTCTCATTTGGCTGACTGGGTTTGTGTAGCTGCCACAAAAACAGGACATGTGCTGAGAGCATTCAGCATGTCACCCATCATCAATGGCTCACTTTTTCTCTCCCAATTGCCTTTTTTTAGAACTGAGCAATTGTGCCATTCTGTGCAACCCAGATTTCAAGGCCTGCTATTGTGGACAGCACCAGGATATGACCTGTTTGAGGCTGAACCTTTGTGTCTATCTGTAAGGATGACAAAAAAGCAGTCCTCACATGCTCTCCAGCAGCAGTACGATGGGCTTGAGCTCCTTCCGTGTTCGGTAGTAAGCCCGTAGAGGCACAATGAAGTTGTACAGACCGTTTCCTGCGCTCTCCGCCGACACAATGATCAGTTTGTTTTTGAAGCCGTAGGAGCGAGCATCTTCAAAGGGGATGTGAGGACAAGGCTAAAGGAGGATTCAGAGAGATTGTTGGGTTGCTTTTCTTTTACAAATAAGAAAAATAAGAATAGAAGTGATTTAAGTCTCCTACCTTGTCCATGCGCAGGCAGCAGAAAGGCATCTTTTCTTGAAGGAGATGGCATAGTGCAGGTGAGCTGCCAATATATGGAGAGTTCAGCGGGTATCCCTTCACCCACCTGCAGCACAAACTCACATTTACGTCTGAATGGATTTGAATACTCTCATATATCATATACTCTACTCACTCGCAGTGTCGACCCCACCAGTGGGCGCTATCGTCTTTATCACCGTCATCTTTGCCTTCCTCTCCCACTTCATCCTCTGACTGCTCCCCCAGAAGGTCAAAGGTCGGGTTGTTGACTCCATCCACCAGCTCCAGGACCGGCGCGATGCTGTGCCGTCTGTCATCGGCTGATTCTCCCATGGCAGGCAGAGCCAAGGTGTTCGAACCCCCCACCTCCACCCTGGAGCTGCTTCTGCTCCCCCTCCCACTGCTGAGGCCTGTACCAACCGGGTCCTGGCCCTCTGGGCTGCTGTCACTGGAGTCCTGCAGGTCGATGGCCACAGTGCCTGAAAACATTTCAAAGATAAACAGAAACACCTTAAAATACATAAAACATTTCAGTACAATGTGGGGTCTTGAAAGGGAAATTAAAACAGTTTTATTTTCGGCCACTTGGTGGCATGTTTGTGTAGCAACAGAGTCAGACCTGGAAGGTATATGCTTTCAACACATGCAGGTGCATCTCAGACAATGTCATTGAAAGCTAAAACATATATATGTTAATTTTGATGGTTAGAATGTAAGAATAAATAAACCAAACACCGTCCATGAGGATGGTACATCAAAAAAAGGCCAGTGCTGTCCTCAAGCATGATAGAAAGTTGAGTGGAAGAAAAAAAAAAAACTCCAAATAGTAAAAGCCTAACCCTTGAGCGAATTGTGAAGCAAATGACATAAAAAAGTTAAAGAGGCATTACATAGTTTTCTAAAGGTACTGCCACCTATTGCCAAAACACAGAACTTCAGCACTCTTCTGCTCGTTCTTGTTGCTCGCGCTCATACGTGATAAGTTCTATTTTTTTAAACTTTTTTTCACCTTACATGAATTTGCCATTGGTGTCTGAGTTGTGCTGAATGCTGGTCGCTTCTTAATAAGGACAAAATCCATGTTGAATACAACGTTTTGATTGTTTGCTAGATAGGACCCATTTAACAAAAACCTGCTTGATGCCACATCTGCTCATCAAACGATGCTTTGGTTGTAAAGGGTCAAATAAAAATGATATAATAAAGACATTTTTTCAGTAAAAACTAAAAATAATGTCTCTAAAGTAGATTTTCAAGATGTGGAGCTTCAGAAATTACAACAATAGATGTATACAGGGCAGGTGCTGCAAGTGTACTTATGCCCCTCCCAATCCTATCCAATCCAATCCAATCCAACTTTATTTATATAACACTTTAATAATCAACAGGACCATAGTGCTGCACAAAAAAAGAAGTACATCAGAAAAAAAAAATCTGAACCTTCTCACCTTAAATAAATAGAAAAGGAACTTAACTCCTCTATGTTCCAAAGGCCTCTTTACAAATCAAATCATATTTTAGATGAATCTGTAAAACTCATATATTCTTTGACTACAATCCTTATTCAGAGTAGTGGCATAGGGAGTAGAGGTGGAGTGTGTGAAAAAAATATGACAGTTTACAGAGTGTCTTTGCTGAGCCTTTCCTACTGACCCATGCTGGCTATGATGCTGTGCACAGGCAGGCGGGTGAGTCCATGATAGATACTCTGGTGGACTCCTCTTGAGTTTCCTCCCGCCCCTCCCCAGGATGGTTCCCTCTGACCCCTGACAAAAGCAGAGTTCTCTTCTTTAGAGATGTTGATGTAAAAGCAGGTGTCCGAAGCCCCCATGATGTGACACGGCCCGGGGTTCAACAGAATGTTTGTGGTGTCCAGTCTGCGAACCCCAATCAAACAGACCCCAAACCTGCAAACACACAGCCAAGATTAGTTCGGAGCCAAAGACTTTAGAATATTGCTTACAACAATGTTTTTACCCACTTTTTGTGTGCATGAAAGGAGGCAAAAGTGAAACTCTTTCCTAGGTACTCTCCAAAGAATTTACTTTCTTCCAGACGGATGTGATGGACCTCGTTGGCAGAGCAGCGCCTGTAGGTTCGGTGCCACTGGTCTGATGAACCCGCTCCGCCATTCCTGAGACAGAACAACAAAAACACATTGGTTTAGTTGAAGCATGACCTTTAAAATGTGTTATATGAAGCACAAACGGTCACATGAGTGGATATTCCATCAAAGTTATAGTGGTGACATCCTACATCTCTGTCTAAGCTGCTAATCGATACTACAATCAGGGCATGGAGGGAGACAAGGACTCATAGCCCAGGCTTAGTCATTTGCACTGTTAAGACCACACCAGCTTTTTCTCAGGGGGGAATACAGATTCACATGCGGGGGCTAAAAAGGTGACAACGAGAAGCAACAGTGTGGAGGTAGTGTGACTTTGGATAGCCTGCTAAAGAAAACTGCTGCATATAGAAACAGTGTTGGAAAGGTTCAATTTACAGGAACAGACAGAGGGATGGGAGAGGAGGATGGCAAGTTATAACATCGTCAGTGCCAGAAATCCAGATGGTCTCAGGTTCAGATATAGATGAATAATAATGAGAACACCTCAACACATTCTTTATAAGGTGATTTAACAACTATAGGCTTAATTTAACAGGTTGGTGATGTTTTTTTTATTTATTTTTTTCACATAAACTTTTAAGTTGAAGAACAAAATAAAGGTTGGTCCATTTGCTTACTTTAGATGTAGATAATATCTTACTGAGGTCTTTTGTTATTATTTTTCTTGTCTTTTTAGAGGCATATAACAACAATGGATATTTTTTCCATATTTTGTTGTATATTCCTAAAAAATAATCTTTACAAGTAAAAAAAAATCATACAATCAACCAAAGAAATTCCAGTTCTATATAAGTTTAAAGGTAGCTAAGGTTTTAGGGGTTCCTATATATTATTATTATTATTATTATTATTGTTTTACAGAAAGTACACAGCTCATACAGAGATACATTGCTGCAGAAAAGAAGGTAATAAGACAAGTTTCTGAAAACTGATAAATACTCTATAGAACAACTGTGTGCAGTTATACTAATGTTAAGAATGAAGTTTATATAACTGTGATAAGAAAAATACTGGTTCCTTATTGCAAAGAGAACATGCAATGGTATCAATCTGCAAATAATGCTGTCCCCTTTATAGAAACACTTGTTTCTAAAGGGGTTTTAAAATGACAGTTTTTTTTTTATTTTTAGTCTTCTGATAATTTATTATTATATATATAAGTAGTTTCACTAATCAATAAAACTACTTATGTATTTTGTTAGTGATCCATAGTTGAAAACCTTAACAATAAAAACAAACTCTTCCTAGAGTAAATGATAGTTTCTTTAATTGTATTCTACCTGTTAAGGGCTTGAAATGCTCCAGAACGTTGCTTGAAGGCCTCTTGGGGTGTAGTTCTATAAAAGGGGTAAACAGATGAAAAGAAAGAAGCTACTTTGGCTGGTTTTTCTCACACTACTATTCCAATGGCCATTAAAGTAATACCATAATATGACCAGAATGAAATGGAAAAAAAGGAGTTAACTCACTGTCCTCTTGAGGAGTGAATCAATAGAGTAATAAGAGTTGAGGTGCCAGGGCACACACAGTTTAAAGCCAGCATGGCGTACTTAAATTCCTCTTCGCACACCACATGATCTGCAGACAGAAAAACAAATTAAAGAGACATGAGCTGAAAGTTCTGTGGGCTTCAACTAAAATGAAAGACTCAACAAAATACATTAATTGGTTTGGTCAAAATTGGTATATAATCTGATGAGTAGATAAAGTTGTTTAGATTTTGATGTTGATGGTTAGATGCTATTAAAATCTGCTGCAATTAAAAATAGGGATCCAATAGGACTAATCCTGATAACCCCTTTTGCCAAACGTTCATAAGACATTGTTATACAAACATAATTAATCTCAAAACCTTTAATCTCCCATTTTGCCTCAGAAGCAATTTTCTGCATCAAGATGAAGTAAATTCTGATATATTCACCCATAAACGGCTTTATGCGACTTTAATAGATATTTTGAGATGGTGTTTTATACCTCCATTATTTGAGCTTTGTGGAATCATGTAGCTGTTTTAATAAAATGGGGCTGTAATTGAGCCTTGTTGTATCCCCATTGAAACCAATTTAAAATAAACTAGATACTGCAGCCCATCAAGTGTACAACAATCAGCCTTCAGGAGTGAAAAAGCTATAACATCATATTGGTCAATAATAATATCACATTGCTTTAAGGATTTAATCTTTATTTCTAGCTGTAGAGGACTTTAAACAGACGTTAACAGAAAATAAATCTAATTTCAAAGATTTCTTTAAAGACCTTATCTATTCTGGAATAAATTTCTACCCTGAAAAATACTACTAGATCAGCTAGTCTGGTTTCTGGAGAGGATTCATATAATGGAACAAGAAGAGCCTTCTAAATAGAGGATTTTTTTTGTACTATCATCCACTTTAGACTCTGCTGTCACCACTGAAAAGTTTTCAACAACATAAAAAAACGATTTGCTGAATTAGCTGTCTCTATTGTCCCTACTGCAGGTGCTCGTTCAGCTAAAGGGAGCAGAAACTGCTAAAATCAACAAAGTGAGAGCGAGTCAAAAGAAAGATGAAAAAAATGTATGAAGAATAAAAGCCTTAGAGCTGGAAGCTGATCAAGGCTAGACAGAATTGGTCTGAATCAGAACTTCTCTGATGGTACTCCTCCTGTCTCGTCAGTCCATCGCCCTCTGACTGTTGCAGAATAAGACTGATATTCGCTTAATGAAGCAATTACATAATCAGACCTCAATAGACCCACTACAGGAGAAGATGCTACCAAGTCAGTGCCAAAACAGATAAAACCAAGTTATCAAAGCTATTGTTCACCTGCAGAGAGAGAGAGAAATAAAACATCACTATACAATCCGAACAAAATGTCTCCAGCTTGCTGGACGTTGCCTCTTCTACCCCAAGTTTCCACACGTGTAGTATCCAAGATACAAGATAAATATGCATTTCAGAGTTTTAAATCAATGGATATGAATGTAAAGATGTAATCTATATAAAAGAAATTATGAATTTATTCAAGGTAATTTCAAAGAATGACCCTGGAGCACTCCAGGTCTCCACCAGAAGAGATGGAGCAGTCTGGCAGACTCTGCTGAGACTGCTGCCCCTGCGATCCGATCCCAGATAAGCAAAGAAAAAGAGTATGAGTATTTTCTAAAACTTATTAAAGCCCTGTAGAATCATTCACTTAAAGAAATACTTTTACACATCGGTTTCTAAAGGTTTAATTTCTGGCGAGATAATGGTAGAAGTTAATTGAATAAATGATGCTGTGGTATTTTGATGGTTATTAGTGATTATCAGTCCCATAGAATGGTTTCAGATTGTGCCAGTAGGCTCAGTGGGTTGTTATCATCGAGTGAATCCTAATCCTAATCTTGTCATTCTTTTCCCCCTGCAGAATTTTTTATCTAAAAATGATCCGATTGTTGTTAATATCTAACAAACTAAAAACAAATAAATCTCATATCCTGTCAACTGAGTTGTAGAATCCTCTTCCTATAAATATTTAATTCCCTGTGAAAAAATGCAGATCATTCTTTAATAAGATCCTCATCTAAAGGACATGCTATTTTTGTTTTGAAACCTAATGTGTGTCTCAAACCTAGTGAATGATTTTTTTTTGTTGTTGTTTTATTCAGAAATTAAGACAAAAACCAGACTAAATCGTGAAATAAAACAGCGTGCTTGGATGTAAGGAGAACGGAGACAGAGGAAACTCAATGTAATGCGTATTACTAAGGGTATGCTGGCCTGACGCTGTATGCTGAGCTGACAGAACACTGGACCGGAGCGGAGCGAATCATCATCCCACGTGGATTACTTTCTTGTGATTGGCTTTTACAAGGGAGCTCTGTGATTGCTTGCAAACCATCACCTGTATAAAAAAATGCATTTGTGTATCGAGGTACATCAGGAGAGTGTCAAAAATCCACACTCAGATGCAGTGAAGTTTAAAGACTACTGGTACTTTGTAATGTCATTTATTATTGTTTGTGGAGCAGAAGTACTTTGGCGAATCATGTGCTGTGCATGTGTGATTCTTGTCTGCTTGCGTGAATCGTGCTGTGTGTGGAGCTTGTCCTGTGCATGTGTGAATCACATATGGGTATTTGTGAAACTTGAGACCAATTTGGCTCCATAGAAAAAGGCCCATTGTAGCCCTGAAAAAGTTGCAGCTCACTAAAAAGCTCAGTAGGTAGAAATCCTTGATTGGACAACTAAAAACATTGCACTAAACAGTCTGACCTTTATGAAAGCGTGGGGAAAAAAAGCTAAAGCGTAAAGATATCCATGAGAGGTCCTGTTTGCAGTCTGCTACAGACCACAGAAAAATAAAACAATGCTTAAAATCAAAGCATATTTATTCCTTTGAAATGGCCTAGTCAAAGTACATTATTTCAAACGTGTGATTTAAAATAGACTCTCCTTTTCCGCTCTGACTGGATTGAAGCTATTTTACAAACAGCCTGGACCAAATTCAGTCTCCATCTGAGCAAACCTGGCACAGAAATACAGGATATCGAAATAGTCATCTTTAACAACACAAATTATGGAAAAGTTACAGGGGGTAAAAAAAAAAAAACATGATCTCAGGATCATTCAAGTGTGGTTTTCTCTTTCAACATGATGCACACAGCTTCTGCTGTGATGAGCCGACTGCTGGCAGATTCAGTTTCTGGTTCGGTGAACGGCTGTGACAACATCATGCTGTCGCCTTGTATGAAACACTCGCATGCCTCTTCATACAAAAACATCACTTCAGTGGCAGCTGTCGATGCGTGTGCACTTGTCACTTATCTGCTGTTTATATTTACAGAGCGTGACAGTTGAGGTAAAACTGATCACCTCAAATTCTCATCTCAGTCATAAATCCGCTCAAAGCTCGATACCCTGAGAGGAGGAATCTCAGGTTACTGTTAGCGCTTGGACAGAGATGGAGAGCTGGAGCAACAGGTCAGAGTATTCATCCACAAAACACCTAATGGAGCCAAGCCCCTGGGTCAACCAAACCACCCAAGCAAACACAGACCACACTCTTATTTAACAGCTGCCTCAGAGTCTCCTCTTTTAAAGGAATATCTGATCGACCGGTTAATGTTTGTGGCGAGCCGACCAGTGAAAAAGAGCCAAAAGAGAATCCATTTCCTGCGCTGTGTATTTATTTTTCGATTGCACTGTCTTCAGTTCAGTGCACAGGCATATCAGGGCTGCTTGTTAAGCAAGACAGTTGATCCGGGCAGTAAAAGCACAGTATGTGCTCCGCATTAGGATATAATTGGTGACAAAGCATCAAAGCCTTAGATGGAGAATCACACTCTACAGTGCTACTCTAAGAAGCAGATGGCCGAATAAGATAAAAAATGCAGCTCATGTTAAAATTAATGAGACGCGCGTCTGGCTGGAGGTGTCTGGCTGGAGGTGGGCAGGTGATAAACATGCAGATTAAAAAAAACAAGGGAGAGTGATTCTTCTGATTGAGTAGCAATTTTTTTTTTTACCTTTGACTTAGATCAGCACATCATAATTCATCTCACACACGTAACGCCCTGCAGGATCCTGCTATACAGCCTGTCAATTTAGTTCAAAGTTAAAGCTTGTTGTAAAGCAATGGGCATCTATCTCTGACGACCGTAAGACAAAAAAGTAAATAAATGAAGTGGGTACTGTGGAGCAGTTCTTGTCGTTATAAAAATGCAAAAATTCGAAATGAATATCTGAAATTCTAGAATATAGGCCTGTCTTTGAATTCAGTCTTTATTTGTTGTTGACTACTATGATCCTGTTTTCCTTTCCTCACAGGTTTCCATTCTGCAGATTCCTGAGCATTGACCAGCAGAGAGCTTAATCAACCCCCCCAACGCACACACAAACACACACACCAAAGCCGGGCATACACTGTATGATTTTTTGCCCTGTTCGGGCCGACTCTCCAGTCATGCAAGAATGTTTCATTCGGCCCCAGTTTCAGCCTCGTGTTGTATACAGGGGGAAATGAGGGGCGATTAGCCTCTCCCGACCACCTCCCGATCAGGAATCGTAAGGTCGGGAGAAAATCAAACATTTTGAAATTCATTCAGCCAATCGTGAGGTCGCATCAGAGCGTCAGGCCACACAGTGTGAGAACATACATTGTGAACTGTGAACTTTTAAACCCTGCGATTTCATTGTACAGTTTGAGCTGTAGCTGAGTGCAACAATTGAAAATATCTCACAGTGTAGGCCTGGCTTAACAGACATCTTTGCTTTCAATTCTTGCTCCAAGGAACTGTGCCCTTTCCTTTGTGTTTTCTGCTCCAGCACAGAATCAAATGTGCAGCACAAAGTCATTCAAACTGCAACAGCGGCTCTTTGCATACACAGCAAAAGTGCAACTAAGACCTGCCCACAGGTCCACCAGCTTAGGTAATTAAACCAGTAGGTTAGTGACTGCATTGAAGGATCGGGCTGATTTTTACAATGTTGAACTACCTAAGCAGAAGATGCCTGTGGGATAAGGGAATGGTTTTCTTAATTATAGATTAGGCAAATAATTAATACATACATGTTGGAACCAGATATCTATTGTTACTCAAACTGCTACAGCAGCAAACTTAAGGAACTTCTCTAACAGACGTTCAACTCCCATTAGGATGAGTTTGTGGATCTGATTAAATTGTGTATCTCTTGCTCATTAATGCCTCCCACACCATCACTTCAGGAGTGTTTTCCAAGTGGTGTCAAAATTTGGCATCTGTAGTCACACTAATGCCTGTGTGGCTGTACGCTCTGTGAGTTCAGCTATTGTGATGTCAGGATTTGGAGAGAGTAATAAACTCAGTTTATTGTTAAATTTCCCTCATTATAGCATAATAATGCTAAGGAAATGAAGAAGTGACTAACTTGCTACCTTTTGATTTCAGCACTGAGCATCTGCCTCTTCAAAGAGGGAACATCTACAGGCTTATTAGGCAGAGCACAGTAATCACATCATTCATTTTGTTAATGGATATAATAGGAACATATTAGTATGTTCATGGGAGATAAAACATCAAAGCTTTTCAATCAGGTCTTACAGAGTTTTCAGAGCAGAAGATTTCTCCTGCATAGCTGAGTGTTTATCATATATTGTGGAAAAGGTGCCAAAATGGAAAGACATGAAATTCTCTTTGTGCAAAACAATTCCTGCCTCGATAATAACAAAAGCTCAAGCCTGACTGTGAAGTGCTTTAACAGCGCTGCAGGAGGATCACCCTGTGGAGAGGGCTTGTCTGCCAGGTTAGCACCACTGCAGAGCCCATCAAAAGCAGGGATTTTCTTTGCTAAGGTAGAAGAGTAAAACATTAACAACTGATGGAGACAAGTGGTATGTGAGTGACAAGCTAGAACCGGGTTTCAGATCATCCGAGGCTGCAAGGTGAGAGACGTGCAATAGAGGGAAAGGATGTGAGGGAGTGCGGGTCCCGGTCGTTCACTCACAGACGACTGACTGGTGTCTGCTGTTTTGCAGAGTAGGATGGTGAGAGTCCAAAGACTAATGTTTGAAACTCGCAAAAAAGGCATTTAGGCAAGCTGTGCCAATCCGTCCCACACTTCCTTCAAGCTGGGAAGAGAGATTGCTATAAGGCTGTACCAGCACTCTCATTGAAAAAACATTTTTTAGTCTGAGCCGTCACTTAGATGAGCTCAGGTACATCTGAGGCCGATTTGTCTCCATTGTTAAAGTAAACGACAGCAAACACAAACTTAAGAAATTCAGCTTCAAAACCAGAAATATATTATGTAAAAGGAACATGTTGAACAATAGCCTGCTTCCCCACAATGCCAGCCTCTTTCATTTCACACTCTCTGCCCACCTGCAAACTTGACGTGGAACTTGTTCTCTGGCTTGAGAATCTGAACGTACAGAGGGCAGTTTGGAGCGAAGTCTTTGACAGCCCAGGCTCGGAGGATGGTTTGATGATCCTGCCAACATTGAAAACCGAGTGGATTAAGTTAGCCATCATGGGGAGAGAGTGGGAGGAAGGAGAGGAAGTAAGGTGCAAAGAGATCATTAGTGACATCAGGCTGAAGCACTGTTATAGCTTTCCTCTTAAATTGCTTGATGGTGTGAAGCAATGTGATCTTCCTTGATCAGGTTTAATGCAATTTGGAGGGTGCAAAATTTATCTAAGTTGCTTGAAACATCTATTTGGTAAAATGTGCTGTTTTAAATGATGTTTACTTTTTTTTCATGAAGACATAACACTCAAAATATTTGTGCACAATGCACCAAAGCCAGATGTGTGATCAAGAAACCGACCCATTATTTTTTTGTTTAAATCTGTATATCTTTGTAGATGGCTACAAAAGGTGTGCAGACAAAGTCAATATTGAGTTACATATTAATGCTGGTAAGTAGGTATATAACCATTCCAGCATGTCTAATTTGGACCATGTGTGGATTAAAGATCAACAATTAACGGAAGCTTCTGAACCCAAAACAGTTTAAATAGATAACTAAGAGCCCTAATACAACATTACCTTGAAATATATCCCATATTTATTCTTAAATTAATGCAACATGTTTGCAACTAGATCAGGACATTTTTTTATTATTTGAACTGCTGATTACAATGTTATCCATTGAAAACTAAAGTCAAACTTCTTTTTTGTGCTAAAAAAAATACCTTTTTAATGTTTCCGATTTAATATCTGTTCAAATTAGAACAGGATAAACCTTTTAAATCTAGCATTCAAATTCAAAAAAAAATTTTATTAGCCCCCCTGGTTACATTTGATGTTTCAATAAGCACCTCCTACTTATATTCAGGGTTGAATGAAGTACATTTAAACCTGAATAACATGTTCATGAAATCCAAAGCTCTCTCTCTGAATTCCTAATCAGATCTACTTTACGGTAAGAAATGTCCTTTAACAATGTCTGTGAAATGAAAGTATAAAGATGGACAGGAAATCCATTAATTTAGCCATGATTAATGCTGAAGTGATTCGGGATCAAAAAGGGAAATGATGAAGCACGTACAGCAGCAATACGGTCCACTTCAAACCGGTTACTGAGGATAAAGCAGGCCTCAGCATCGTCCATCCTGCAGGTAGTTAGTAGAGCCAGCAGCCACAGGAGCGAGAGAGGCAGGCGGAGTGGGAGAGACAGACAGAGGAAGAGAGAATCGGGGGAGGCCGTGAGACACAGGAAGAAGGGTGTTGTCATGTTATTGTCAGAGAGGACAAAAGAGGAAAAAAGTGGGACGGCAGAACAACAAATGTATAACGTTATCGCACACGCCATTTTAAGACGAGATGGTGGGAGGTGAGGGTAATAGACAGGGAAGCTTTTTCCTTCCTTTTTCTCTAAAATTAAGCTTACATGGTTTTATTTGTAATTCAGTTTTTACATGCCCTAAACCATCAAATCCAACATGTGTTATTGAGACTTTAAGTAAAAATTTAACATAAGGCACAATATGGGGAGAGGAGGGAAAGTAAAAGGCGTGAGTGCCAAATATAAAAATCTAAAAGGTGAGGGATATATTTATCTGTCATCTTCACTATGATCAACCAAAATAATCAGGGGATCTGATACTACCAAAAAAAATTTTTATTTTTCAAAATTCAGCAACTCAACAAAGCATTAGCCATATTGAGGAAGATCTGGTCAGATGAGACTAAAACTGAGCTTAAATGTAAAAAGCTTTGTGTCATGGAAAAAACAACAAGAAAAAATCAAGGCGGTGGCAGCATCTCGCTGTGGGGTTACTTTTCTCTCAGTAGGGGTATAAAGATCAGTCAGAGCTTCTAGGCTGATGGAGGCGAAACAGTGAAATCTGCTGAAGGCTGCATAAAACTAGCAGGGTGTATAATACTATCCTTCCAGCAGTACAGCAACCCTAAAGATACAGCCACAGTTATGATTGATGGTTTACATCATCTAAAATACTTTAAAAAGGTTCCCCCGGTACAAATACTTTGCTAGACATTGTTTTATATTTCAGGGGCTTGCAAACACAGGTGCCTCAAAATGCTTAAACACTTAATTCTAAGCTGCATATTAATTACTGGCCATGGTGGGGCTTTTTTGTAGTGCTCTGTTGTTGATTTAATGTAACAACTCTGTTATTACACTTAAAAAAAAAGAAAGTCAGAATCACTCACTTGGCTCTCATAAGGTCTTGGTCTTTGAGGGCAGACCCCTGCAGGTAGATGACTCTCAGAGCCCAAAGTGGAACATGTAGGACCCTCCTAACCTGGACGTCCATCTCAGCGGGGCAAAGGATTACCACATAGTAGTCCTACGAACCGACAGAACAGACAGCTTTGGTTCAGAGTTTATGGTTAAGTATTTCTGTTCAGCACTAAGAGAGCAACTAAAGTCAAATAAATTATTTATTTCATTATCTGACAGTGAATTTCACAGACCAAATTAAAGGAGGAAAGGGCAGATTCTGGCTACAGCTAGACTCAGCTTTAAATTATGAAAAGTAAGATGATCCCTGGAAACACAAGTAAATATTCACACCTTCCAGCAAACAGCCACTCAGCTGATCCAGCGTGAATAAGTATGAGGTTGACCCCTTGCTTTAACAGGATTAATTCTGTTTTACCCTCCTGGAAAGGATTATCCTAGGGAATAAACATACAAAGGACCGTCCCGTCCCACTTAAATCCAGACCTGCAACCGAG